GACTGGTTTCTCAATATTAGGCTCGGCTCCCCCTACGTGTTCACGGAGAACAAAGACAACTACCTAAACAAAGTCGTGAACAACGGAACCCTGCTCGTGGCTTACGTCCCGGCTCAGAGACGTAGCGTAGTCATCAGCCCAGCGGCCAGTATGGCAGCCCACATACTATCGAGTAAACCGGGGGTGCAAAACGTGACATTGCAGTTGGTGTCTGAATTTGCTGGCGTGGTCAACGTCCTGGAGAGTCTACCGGAGAACGCCACTCTGATCATCAAAGTCTACCTAGGGGAACCATCGCAGGATGAAGTCGAAATCATGAAGGGGGTCAAACTCGGGTGGGCGAAACGGCACCAGTATCAGGTTTGCACTGTTTACGTGCGGGTGGGTGCCGACTCCCACACCAGTCTGCAGGGGGTCACCGTGACCGTGGAAGACACGATATCACTCACCAAGATCTTCCTACCCGACAACATACACTTCATGGGGTTGAAGTGCGCCCCTGAGAAATTATCAGAAAAACAGTTGGAAACTATATCGTAATAGTATTATAGCAATGACCAATCAGAATCGGCCCAACGCCACGCTTAACGACCTAGGGGACGCGGAGGGGTTCGATCAGCCCGGCGAGGCAGACACCTCGTACGTCCTACACTTGAAAGACAACGTGTATAGGCGGGCAGCAATGGCCAATCATCTACCCAAAATCACACTCGGGGACCTAGGGGGCATAGAAGGATTCGACCAGAGTGGTTGGGAAAACACCTCGTACGTCCTACCCTTTTAAAACGGTGTGTACATACGGCAGTCCCTGGTAGACTTAAAAGAACCCAGATGGGTGATCAATGTGACCCTCACCGCACCTTATATCTCACTAGACAAAGATGGCTATGTCTCTGAAATTAGGAACAACGGTATCTTGCTCACGTCTTTCATTCCAACTCTTGAAAGGATGATGGTTTCTAAAACGCCATATTACCCGGGGGGCAACATGTTAGTTTCATCCGGGCGGTCCTAGTTAAAAGCCAACCCCGCCAATACCATAGCAGGGGTTAGGGCTATGACCCCAGGCTCCATACTCATCATAGAAGTCGTTTGCAAGGGTAAGTTTGATGATCCGGACGACCCGATACGATCCCCAAACCTACAACTTTTACCTGGCTTGGCAATACGTTGGGGTGACCTACCTACAAGTTTCCTACCTTGCCGTATCATTATAAGATTGGGGGGCAACCCACTGGGATTACTACCCCCCTTATTAAGCTGCTTAGATGTTGATATAGACCAGAAGTTACCTATTGACCCTTCCCGTATCTCCACATACGAGAATCTAAGTCTTATAAGCCTCAAGTACATTGATCAACCATTAAATGAAGCCCAATTAAAAAACATTTCATCAGATATATTATAGGCACACAGGATGGGGCTATACCCAGTCGTAGAGGAAGGAGCGAAGACCCTGGAAACCGTAGACGGGTTCCGCTTGAGACAGTTATGTGATGTAAAACGCCAACTAGAACAAGACCGTGACACTCGGAAAGCACTATATAAGAAGTACCATAGAGCTTTCAATGCCGTGGACGGGACTGATACTGCCCTTATGGCAACCAGCATGGGGCTAGGGGCGGCAGGTGTTGGGTTGTTAGCTACCATCGTGGCTGCACCTATAGTGCTAGGCATTGAAATAACAGCTGGGGTGGCAGGGGTGTTAGGGTTGGTGCTTAAGTTTGCATCACGCAGATTGCATCGTAAGGCATTGAAACACGATGAAATCAGGGTTCTGGCTGAAGCAAAGCTGAACACGGTAAGCGACCGTATTTCAGCGGCACTCACTGACAACAAGATCTCAGAGGAGGAGTTTCGCTCGATCCTCTCTGAACTCACAAAATATAACAAAATGAAACAAGAGATTCGGTCCAAGTCTCGTAAGTCTGCTATCAGCGAAGACGAGAAAAAAAAGTACATAGAACAGGGAGTACGAAAAGCCCAGCAAGCCTTTATTACGAATACCAAAGAGATCATAGGCGATTCACATTAAACTGTTTCATCGAGGTCAACGTGACATAGGGTAATCACAATAGTGTCATAGCGGCGCAGTAGTGCCACGTGCGGTCACGCGTGGCTGGGAAGTTAACTGGGGATTCAAACAGTAGTAGGCAATGGCGGGTTAGATCTAAGGGTCTGACAAAAGCTTTATTTGTGAAATAAAGCTTTACAGCGACCTTTCTTGAAAGTGATCTCATACCCCCATTACTACTACTACTCCTGCATTGGCGGCTGTCTTTGCCCGAGTGTATTTCACTGGGTTCAGACCGGTACGGGTGTGTGTACGCTTAATACACGACAAGAACCTATACCATGAGGTGTTGAAGTTATCATGAAGCTGATACCCATGGCAGCTCCGTCTTTTTAGGATAGACAAGAACAATAGAGAAGCAATGTTATTTAGAAAGTAATTAAATGAAACACATGTAATATTTGGGATTACACTTTCTCTATAAGTACAGATTCTAGTACTTTTGTTGGATTGAGTCCCAATGGTAAGTACAAGAATATGTACTTTACTGAGAAAATGTAATCCCAAATATAACATGTTTGACAAGAACAAGCCTGAACATACTTCGACGCCCTTCTCATCAACCCCACAACCACCATCACAGGCGCAACCACTACACCAATGTGGATGAGGATTTATCCCGCGATAACCCTGGGTCTTGCTACTCCGTCATGGCGTAGTGTTGCTTGTAAGCTGTTTGTTGTTACCTTACCCATGTTTGAAAGACCTAACAAACATTGGTAACTGCGTAAAGGATAATTCAGTCCCCCCAGGTTGGAGGTGTGGGGAAAATGTAATCTAGGTGAAGAATAGATCTAGATCCAGAATAAACTAAATCTAGAGGACATCTTCCGGAAGGTTTGTATTGTTTCTTTGTTGTATAACGCCGCACTCGGCAATAGTTCAGCTGTATGACGGAAATAGCTGGAATATTGCGGAGTGCGGCTTTAAGAAGCAAAAACCTAGGTATGTTGTTCCCACGGAAGAGGGGCGATGGGGTAGCCTAGTGGTTAAAGCGTTTGCTCGTCACGCTGAAGGCCCGGGTTCGATTCCCCATATGGGTACAATGTGTGAAGCCCATTTCTGGTGTCCCCCGCCGTGATATTGCTGGAATATTGCTAAAAGCGGCGTAAAACCATACTCACTCACTCCCACGGAAGAATTTACCACGGGGAATGAATCCTCTGTTACAACGTGTAAGCCGTGTTCTTTTATGTGTCCTTCTTTCAGTTACTTATCACAAATGGACTGGACGGCAACTGGTCAAAAGTGCCAAAGGACAAAAGGGCGGCCAAAACTGAAAAAGTCAAAAGGGCCAAAGAAAAGTCAAAAGGGCCAAGGGAAAGTCAAAAGGGGCCTAGATTAAAGTCAAAAGGTCCAAAATAAACATCTAAGAGTGTCTCAGTGTTGTTTATTTGAAACATCTCAGAGTGGTTATGTGTTTATTTTATGAGTATAGTCAACCATACAACTGTTTATTTAATGATTACAACTCAATATCATTGTCAGTTCAGGCAAAATGCTATATAAAACGAATAGTTCAACCACAATTGAATTAGTAACATATTATGTATTTACTTTATGTTGATACCTTTATGCTGTAAGAATTTCAAATTCATTATTATATCTGAGATATCAGACTAAGATACAATGACTTTATTATCCTCATTATCCTATCCTAATATATCACCGAGTCCTGCTTCACTCCTGAACATGTGTTCGCGGATTCATGGCCCCATCACGTCAGTGGAATGATTGACAATGTCTGAAGTGAACTTGTGTGATGATGTGTGGATTGTGAACAGATGTCTGAAAAGTGTCTGTGGTGAACTTTAAAGATGTGTGGATTATGAACAGATGTGAGAAAAGGTATTGATACACACTATATTGTATTACCATTATTACTACATATTGATACAAATATATTCACAATGCAATGTAGATTGCTGAAACTGTTAATATCCGTTATGAGAATCGATTCCACATGTAATAAAACATATAAAATATATTATAGCTTGTATGTTCTTATTTGAATTTTATCTATGGCCCTTTTGACTTTATCTATGGCTTTTTATACTTCCCTTTGGCAAATTAGATTTTTTCTTTGGCCCTTTTGACGTTTTCAGGTTTGTCTACCACTGTTACAAAGTGGCAATGTCGATTGAAGTGTAAGTATTGCTATCATAAAAGTGAGTGAGTGAGTATGGTTTTACGCCGCTTTTAGCAATATTCCAGCAACATCACGGCGGGGGACACCAGAAATGGACTTCACACATTGTACCCATGTGGGGAATCGAACCTATCATAAAAGGGAAACGAAGAGGATAAAATGACACAGAAACAACATTGCTGATTCAATAAGTTCACTAAAATCACTAAGGACCTTCCATGACTATGATTAACTCATTAACATTTATCAGGACTTTATTATTGATATTCAGGGTGTTAAATGTGGTGAAAAAAATACTTACATTTGTAACAATAAGTCACTCCAAACAGATCTTACACATTTAATATCCTGATGCAATAAATTGTAAAACAAAAGTTAAATTCTTTTTCAATTATGATAAATGTCTTGCCCAATGAGGAAGAACAGTTTTTGTGGTCATTTTAGAAATTCTACATGATAAAGAAAAAGCAACTAGTATGTGGTGGAAGAAAGCCTCAACTGATGCAGTTCATGGATGTTTAGGACTTTGGTGAAACTCAAGAGCACAGGTATGGTCCTCACAAACCAAGGAACGAAATCAGGGCAAATCTCTCCCTGTATCTCAAGTCTAACACTATTCATAAACAACAATTGTGCCTCCCTGCGTCGATGAAGATATGGATAAAGCAGTTGTGACCATGTAGTGGTTCCCCTTTACCTTTGAATAGATGGCACTGGCACCACACTCAATGTGGATGGCTTGATCCACAAAATGTAGACAAGACAGAACACGATAAATCATGCTTAATTAGTGGTTTATTCATATAGACATGATATGGAATGTATTAACAAATGTACACCTCATATACACTGACTATCTCATTACCAGTGACTATGCAGCATTGTGGCACTATATGTATAAATGCTCTGCAATAATAGGTGGGAACGTCTACATATACTGAGTATAAGTGAACAGCTTGACAAGAAACACAGGCCGTATTGCTGAACTATGCATAAACCTACAAGAGGCAAAATAACAAACATGCATGGTTCTTGCAAAAAACGTCTTATAGACCGGGAGTTCATAAAGTGTACAACTCAGGAAAATGTTGCGGATTGTTTTCTCACTGGTGAAAAAAGAGAGAAATTAATCCTATAACTCTGATATGTTTAGGTGGACCATGAGTGACTGACGATTATTAATTATCAATGTGACAGAATTACCAATTATCTGTCTGGAGTGAATGAATGTTGATAACCCTCGCCTCTGGCGGGCAACTTACGGTATTCGTACATTCACCAGGGACAATTAATTCATAATTCTAAATGTTGTTCTTCATATCGAATCAACATTTTCAGAGAATATGAACAAAAAAATATATAATATCAACCCAACAGTGAAATTTCACTGAAGGCAGTCTGTTGTTCAGACAATGAAATGTAGTCCGTTTGTGATGTCATGTACAATGATAGACACCATGCCACATCATTTTTATAATTCCTCTTATATGTGTCAGATTTTGAACTATTTAACATATATAGTAAATTTATTCTAAAGTTTAAGTGAAAAAAGCAACAAAAAATGAATACACTACATACCAGCATACTGTATTTGGCAATCATCTTTCACCTCGGAAAACACAACATTCATAACAGTAAAGAACTTTCACACATGTGGCAGTGTGACTGACATGTACACATGTCGTCAGTTGCTGCCACTCACACGTCAACCACAACCAATTGCACAGCAATACCTATCACAGATGAGACCACACCAAACTGTGAGTCATGGACGAAGATGGTTTCTGACTGCACAACATCCTACAATATATCTACTGTACATCCTAGTGATGCAGCTGACATCTACACAATGTTAGCTTATCGATAAGTTCACAAAACCTGCAAAATTGACCATAACTGATTCTGTTTTGAGGTATTTTGCAATCTTGTTTCATCTTTGAAAGAGTCATACAGAGTAGTAGCAGTAAATGAGTGAGTATGGTTTTATGCTGCTTTTAACAATATTCCAGCAATATCGCGGTGGTGTACTACTACTGCTACTACTGCTACTACTACTACTACTACTACTGCTACTACTACTAATAGTAGTAGTAGTAGTCATCATAGTAATTTGTATCAAAACAGAAACTATGGACAATTTTACAACCTTCATTCCACTGGTGCTAAATACAAAGTAATATCAAACAGCCCTGAGAGCAGAAATTTCTATTGACTATTGAACACAGAACGCTACCACTGCAATACATTCTCTGAACTTTCTCACTGCAACTGCAGCCAGCTCTACCAGTATATGTATTATCAGTCACAGCAGCCTGAGGCTGTGATTGTGGCTTTTCATTATTGGAACAAACAAAAAGAAAAAAGAAGAAGAAAAATACTATAACATATTTGTGTGTACTAGAGAAATTACACGAAAATCAAGAATGACAAAATATGACAAACAGTTGTCACGGGAGTGTTGCTATTCATTACGATTCACAGTAATGGCCTAGATTGGATGTGACAGGTCGCAATAACGCCAGATTACCTCACCAGCCAGCTAGGCCCCAACTGTTTATCAATGGTAGACAGGCCATATCAACTTTCAGTGTGGAAGTTGTACAAACATGCTATGAACACTTTTGATGCTGTGTCTACAACATGCAAATGCATGTAAACCTGTAAGACCTGTTGTTTTAATGCCAACAGTCAACTACCCTTTTCAAAAAACAATCTCTATATATAAACACTATAAAGAATGATTTACCAGTACTGCAGCAAACAGTTGTATAACAAATCTGTTCTGCAGGATATTTTCATGATTGTTGTAAGAAGTGTAAAAATTTGATCAAATCATCTACTTGATTGTGAACTGGAAAAAATATACCAATATCAGTGCTACATTAAAAATCTATAAAAATTGAAAATAACTTTCAGAATAAAATCTGGTACTAAATTGTCATGTGGAAACAACCCTGAGCCACATTTTACATAACAAGATACAACTTCACTCCTTGTAACATACTGATGAGTATCCATATTTAGAACATTAATAGAGAAAAGAATCAATAGCTAATAAAATATCCAAGCACTATTTCAGTAAAGTTTTTGTCTGAAATTCTTCTAAAGAAAGAAAGAGAAATATTTATGTTTTATTTATTCATCAATTCAGCATGTGCCATGCTTTTAAGTTAGGGACAATTTATGTAATCAATATCATAAGACTGCCAAACATCCAAGGAGCTCTATAATTTCTATGTACAGTGTAACAGACATATTTGACACAGCAATAATTTCACAGTGAAGCACCATAACAGCAATGTACACCTCAGTAGCGAGGGCAGGTATTTACACATATATAACTAATACTGAATCTAGGGAACACGGTTCTCAACTTGAATTGACAGCTGTTGTGATCTGGGCTGGTGTTTCAACCTTGGATTTCTTAACCTGAAATGAAAAACCAGAACAGTGACTGCATGGTCAAGGGGAGATAAGTACAAATAATGATAACAGTGAATCCAGATTACTGAGGCAAGAGAATTAACTCTGGAATGTGGCCAGTTAACTCCATTGCCTTGGGAAGCTGAAGAGTGAAATAACCCGTGTATATTCAAACTATAAAAATTCAGCCTGTAACCCACTAATAAATAATGGAGTCTGGTTCAGACAAACCAGAATGAGTTACCCCTTCTGGCAGGTGCTTATGACAAGTACAATATCCTGGGGACCTATTCGTCTGTAGAATCACTCTTGATAATAATGATTCCAAGCTTCTTGTTTAACGTCCTGTCAGCAATATTCTACCATGTTACAGTGACCTATTCAATGTGGACCTAATGAACCAATGATTGATATTACAAGCAATCAACCAAATCATTGTGTCATTCATTTACGTGACCTCTGCTAAGCATCCGTTGTTGGAGAAGTATTCTAACCTGTTGTACTAGGTTTGTGTCACTGTACAGTGTGTTTCCTGTCTGTTTTGTGACTACAACAAGAACAGGAAGCCTGATGTGTGGCATCACATTAGCACCAAACTCTGTCAGATTAAATTTACAATCAATTACTTTTCCCAAAATGTTTAATCAGCACTGGCATTTTCAGTGAAAATGGCCACATGAAACAAAAAGTCAGGTGTTGATTTGTGTTTGTGGACATTTTGCCTTTTAATCCCAGGAACATATCATAATGATCAACAATAACTCACTTCACTAACAGAGTTCTCTACAGGTGTTGGTTGGATCAGGTTGTTATCAGCTGGTTTACGATCATATTTTCGTCGATGCATGCCGTCGATTTCTGTCACATACCAGGTGCCTGGGAACAACACCTCGGTATTGCCTATTGGGTTGTAAGGGGCTGAAAAATTAAATGTTTGTGTTTACATTTAAACAGAACATGATTTGACATCTTAATAAACAGTGGCACTGGGATAGCCCAGTGGTTATAGCGTTCTCTTTTGATGCCAAAGACCAGAGTTAGATTGCCCGCATAGGGATAATGTGTGAGGCCCATATCTGGTGTGGCCTACCATGATATTGCTGGAATATTGCTAAAAGCGGTGCAAAACCCAACTCACTCACTCATGCACTATTAATAAACATATTCATTTCTGAAGACTTTGAAGGGGATTATCCATTGTCACCTGAAGAGGAGGAGAATTACTGGAAAGATTTGAACTGAAGACCTTTTTAAATATATCAAGGCAATAAGAAGAAAAGACATTGCTGTCCCTATTCCCTGTTCTAACAGTTATCTTAGCACTGACAGTCTTCACTTTCATACATGAATCATCATAGTGGTAACTGTCTCCAGCCTGCATCACTTTGGATTTCCTTCCATGCTGAACTGACACATTGGGATTGAACTGACATACTGTTCAAAGAGTCATTTATACCAACTCACTTAATGGTATTCACTACACTAAACAGTTACAGCCCTAAAACTGTCAACAATCTATGTCAGAGTTAAGAAAGTTGTAGCGTTAAGGTCACTTTGTGGGATGAAGCTCTGTAGAGAAATACCAGTACACAATCTGAAAAGGCTACAATTTATTTGTTCCTCATATATATATCGGCCTGTTGATGTGAATACAAGAAAAAAGTATACCTAGATGATGTGTCTCTTGTCGGAGCTTCATGGTCTCGTCAAACTTCTTGGGGTCCACCTTGGCCCTGGCATCAAGGCGCTGCTTCAGGTTGCTGAGACTGGCCACGACTCTGCGGAGCTGTGACGATGGGGAGACATCATCTGTGGCCTTCAGGGAGAACATGGAAGCAGCTAGGCCTGACCCATAGGAAAACAAGATTACACGTCTCCCTGCAAGTTCCTCCAGTGTCCGACTGGAAAGTAATGAATGAGGAAATTAATATCCTGTTTGTAACATCAATGTGCTAAATATTACTTTCTGGATGAAATGATGCTCTGGTACACTTGAGATACTAATTGATAAATGACATATCCATTTCTGTATTGACACACAATAACAGGTTGTCATTTTGTTCTGTTTTTATGAATTTCTGTATTGACACAGTGAAGTAGTGAGTGAGTGGAGTGAGTGAGTGACAGGTTGAGTCAGTTTTGTTCTGTTGAGGAGGAGGAGTGAGGAGTGAGTGAGTGAAGTGAGTCTCTGTTCCACAGTGAGTGCATGAGTAAGTGAGTGAGTGAGTGAGTGAGTGAGTGAGTGGAAGGTGGAGACTGAGTGAGGAGGACCTGCTGATGAGAGAGGATGAAGACTGAAGCTAGGCCTCCATACAGGGAGGGTGTGTACATATTCCCCACTTGGTTGGATATCAGTAGTGATGGCTTTGTCTTCTTCTCAAAGGTGGATTTGCTAGCTTTCACAAAGGCACTTTCAACTTGTTTGTCAAAATATGTAGATTCAAGTTTTACTTCCCTGAAAAAGTAACACCAACTTTGAAATGATGTTTCAACAAATATCACTTGCAATAATGTCAAAATTTATACTTTATATTCGGGCTGATTAGATATTACAAAACATATCACAAATAAAAATAAGCAGCAGTACACGTAAATATACAGAAACAAGATTATATTGTCAAGGGGAGGTAATTTCGTATGTAATGATTCAGATTATCTCCCTTTGGACCTGAACTTTGGGCACACCAGATGATTGCTTCTACATTATGAGAATTGAAGATCGTAATAAGGTAACAACATAAGAACATGCCAAATGAATTGTATTAAACTACCTTGAAAAACAAGAAAGATATAATGATGTTCACAGGTAACGTAGATTCGTTGTTATTTTGATGTACATTGGGTTACATTGGGTGTCAATGTGTCACACATACCTGAAATCCTCAAGCCCAGCATACTTTTCCTTAAAGTCTGGGCTCGGGTCTCGGAGAAAGTCATTCAGCATTAGTCTAGCTAATGATTTCTGAACTAATTTACAATATGGAGAATGGAAAAGAAAAGCGTCTGCTACATCCAGTGTATTTGGACCAACTGAAAATGAGAAGATTTGTTTAAATAACATGACACATATTACTCATTCAGTCAAATATAGGGAAAGATTTTTGAATTTCACTTCTCAAAAAGTAATTTTATAAAGGGTGAGGTAGGATAAGGTCTTACTTTTGTCCACTGAAACAGTCAAATATTAAAGCAGCTGAAAACCCTGACATGTTGAAATGAAAACAATCAGACACGCTGACAATTATTCCTATAGAAATCAGTTTGGATCAAAGACTTGACATTTACCATCATTAGAAGCATAATCTATAACACACATGTTCCACATTACTGAGCATTGTTGCATTTGATTAAATATAACAGTGACATTACTTTTAACATATGAATGCATGTTCATTGTCTGTTGTGTCACCTTTGATTCCCCTGGCTTGAGCCTTGGCACTGTAGACCTCGTAGCACTTGTCAAGAGCATGGAGGTAGCATTGGATGGAGAGCTTGCCATCCACGGTGGGGTATTCGGGAGGCCATGTCAGGCTTGTAGAAGTCATACACATGCTGCATGTGTGTGCCACGGACACCTGCATCGGACAACAAACAAAAATGCTTTATTGTGTTTTACTCGATTTGCTGCAATATCAAGACAGGGGACTCCAGGCATGGGCTTCACATATTGTAGCCATGGGTCCGAAGTGACAACTGAACACTTTGACCATCTACTACATCAGCCAGAACCTGCTTGGTTCTGAGCATAGATTGCACTGTTTGACCCGACAACATTCCACTTACAATGACTAGTGGCTGCTTCTAGCAGATGACAAATGTTAAATTCCAAAAGAGAAAATTATACAGCTAAGCATAAATACATGTACTGATAAGTATATGTACAAGTAAACAACATAGGTTTAGGATTTCAAACTGCATCAATGGTAATTAACTTTCTGAAATATTGTATATGTGTTTTAAGTTTTCATTTTTTTTTATTCTCAATATTACTGGTAATGTATATATTAGAAATGCTCCCATTTTATCTAACATGTCTAAATTGGACTGTTTGGTTCCATGGTTCAAAGATTATGCTAGCTGGTCATTTCTTGTGCACAGATAATGGAAGTAAAACAACTCTCCTCAGACAACAAGTGAAGATCCGGGTTAGAATTGGTCTTCAGTAACCTATGCTTGTCGTAAAAGGCGACTAACGAGATCGGGTAGTCAGACTCGCTGACTTGGTTGACACTTCATCGTATCCCAGTTGAGTAAATCGATGCTCATGCTGTTGTTCACTGGGTTGTCTGGTTCAGACTCGATAATTTACAGACCACCACCATATAACTGGAATATTGCTGAGTGCGGCATTAAACAACCAACCAACCGACCAACCAACCAACCAACCAACCAACTCCAAAAAGACGCTTCATGCATCCTACGTCTGTCATTTCAATTGTTTCTTTGAGAACTAACTGAATGATTTTCAAAAATGACTCCATGATTATTTATGATATTTTCACCGATACCCCTCTACCTTTGAAAAGATTTTACCGTGGACAAAGTGGAAAAGAAAGAGACATTTGAAAATTTGAAATGTTCTATTGGAGCACAATAGTGCAGTGGTAAGGCGTCTGCCTATCACGCTGAAGGCCCGGGTTCGATCCCCGGTGGAGGCACTTAGGTTCAAGTCCCCAGGTAGGCACATTTGCGTAGTATCCTTGGACAAGATACTTAAATTCTGTTCTGGCAATGTGAGTGATCAGTTCATTGCACCTAACAGGCAGCATGGCTGTATGAAGCCCCAGGGAGTTGAAAAAGTATTGGATAGTACGATGGTGTCCTATAACCGGTGATAGTAATGTACATAGCGTCGTGAGCAGGTAAAGTGCCTGGATACGAGTGCCATATAAGTGGACTATTACTATTACTATTACTAATACACAGATATACCCTACATATACATAATGAATGTGCACTCAAACACCTTGAAGTCATCTAGGTGAAAACAGGCAATTTCATTTGAAACCTAACACTTTATCTTAATCATCAACTGTCATTTTTGTAACATGTTACAAGATTGATCTAATCGTCTTACCTCTGTCAAAGACAAGTGGAGCATTTGGTCCCAGCAGCATGGCGATGGCACCGGCGCCACCAGTGCACCTGGCACTCCCTGAGGCATATACAGCAATATCTCCCGCTACCACCAGTGCATAGCGACCTGCAACCAGGACAAGTCTTACAGTTACCATGGTAACTCAAAAACATAAACAAAAAATATTTTTATCTCAATATGTTCTGTTTCTAACAAAATATCTTGCAGGATTTGTTTTTGGTTTGTAATTATTCATTATTCTGATGAATATTTCATGTATCAGGGCAACCTGGAAATAATAAATTTTTTGTGTACATTACTTTTTAAAACCCATTGTTCAAAGTATGAATGTTTGCAGGACTATATAGTGTATTTTGCTAAGTTAAGCAGGAAGACAGTGAGTGTATCTCAAACCAGGCAAGTTAATCAATCAGAAAGTGCTTGAAATATGACTGTAATGTCCAGCAGTCAATGGGTACCCAATAGGATAAGATGCTCGAGTGACTGTTAACTTTTTCTCATAGGCAGCTTAGGCTGTCTTCCCCCTCATGAACTAATAAAGAAAACTGAGGGCCCACTGATCCATTGACCAGGATAATACTGATGTGTGCACTTTGCATCAATTGATGGACTCTAGCGCTTTACAAATATACACATAAGGGGTATTATAATTATTGAATTTATCTTCATCTGTAGGTACGACAAAATGATCTGTGGAGGGAATGGATGAAAATCTACTAATTAATTTGATATGGCCTAACAATCAATCAGTGTCACCAGCTGAGCATGACAGAGGAATATGGCTAGTCATTGAATTCAATCTTGCATAGCAATACAAACAACACTCTAATAAACACCACCCACTGTACATACAATGAACAGGAATAAATAAAGTGAAACGTGAAGGTGGATATATACCAGTATCATCAACTTTATCTTCATAAAGCCTCATCACTGAGGCTCATTTTTCCAGATGTTACACATGTGTAGTGACCACACAGAGATTCCTAATTGACATGGTTAACTGTATAAAATATTACAATATACTTCTCTCCCGGTATGGACGCTAGCTGATGAAACATGAAACTGTTTTCCTCCAACTGCTATTGTGACATGTGTTCGCTGACTTTATGGTACTAGTCATGCACATGAAATTTTCAATACCTATTCGTTGTTATTAATGAGCAAAAACCCATTTAATTAAAATCAGATCCTTTGCACTGACACTTGATACCTATCTGCAGGATGTTTCACGGACATCAACATAGACAGTTGCTGCTGGACCCTGAGTGGACTTTGACCACCCAATCTAATCAGATGTCTGCTGTCTAAATGATGCGGTTTCTTTACCACCTGAATTCAGAAACTGTATGTTGCAAAATGGAGCCTTCATTAGTGTTGGGAATTGGTTAAAATCTCACAATTATTTCAATTAATCTGAACACCACTAGCCTACATACAATATATTCTGTTTCTTGTTTAATGACACATGATCAAGGTTTTAGGGGTAAAACGGTACGCTCTTATCACGGTATGTTTTACGGTACAAGGCCTTCAGTTCAGTCTGTTTCGGTTCGGTATATGAGATATGATCAGAATGCAGAAAATAGACAAGAGTCAAAAAAAGAGAAAAAAATAACAATAATCTTTGTTACTTTGCATGAACAAAACTGTCATTTTATGTCTAGATAGAACAACGTTATGAAAAAAACGAAAATACACAATTTGTGTATTGCATTTCGATATACCTCACTGAAGGCCAATACCGCGGTTCTACTAATACCATGGTATACCGTTTCACCCCTACAATGTTTGCAAATAGCTGACTCTGGACCTGCCAATCCAGGGACAGATGTAACTGTCAGCAACTATCAGCGCCACTAGGGTACACAGACCAATGAATCAACTCAACAAGAAAGACCACTTGATCACCTGGGTGTTGTTTGTTCTAACCAGCATAGGTGGCTGGGGATCTAACACTGAATACATCTATACCCTTTTTAGTACACCCTTTTGGGTCACGGTGTAGATGTTAAGGCACTAGGAAACAAGAAGCTTTATAAAATATCCATACATAATGCCATGTTTTATCTATTTATATTCAGAACTCCCCAATTATGTTTTATTTTCAAGAAGAAATCAGATATACTTGTAAAATGAGGTGAGCTCATATCTTCAAGCAGAGAGGATCTTAGCAAAGCATCTGCTTGTAATGAGATTGATTATCAATATGCTCACTGGTAACATTCTTGTGGGTTGAAGTTTGGAAAATCTGATTCTGTTATTAGTTTATGTAAATTCTTGATTACCCAGTGTTTTGTCATGTTTATCTAAATTCTTTAATGTCATATGCCCTGGACAAGCAGCTGCCACTGCCTTGCAAAAAGTGAGTTGAGTATGGGTTGTTTTGCTCTTTTAATCATGAAACATCCAGTGAAATTGACAGGATGTTTACTTTTATCTATATCCTAATAGTATGGAGATTTCATAGATTTAGAGGATATCATAATGTACATCTGAGATGCTAAAAATACTATTGCATACAGTCTGTATGACCGCATTTGTTCAGGTAAATAATTAAACTACAAGGATATATTTATCTGATCTGAAATATAGTTTTCACATTAGTTTGCTATAGGAAGTTATTACAGGAAGAAGGAAACCATTTTAACATGCTGCTCTGTATGTTACTCACTGGGATAGTAGTATGGAGTTGCCAAAATTTTAAGCATTTATGATTTTATTCCACACGTTTCTTTGGGAAAATAATTCAGGTCTAGTAAATCTGTTGAAGTCTTGTGATATGAGCAAATGAAGGCTTACATGTTTAGATATAAACATACTTAAAGGTCACATGCAACGTAAAACACAACTATGGACTTACCGAAACAAATCATCAAAAATGCAAATTCAACTTATTAAAGTGAAAAATAATGCGATGAAAAAAAACGTGCGAAATCGGAGTTCAAACGATTCACTAATTTCCCCCCGACTTTTCGGGGGAAAACTGGTTTCAACAGCTCGGCTGCGCTCATAGCATGTGTGCAGTGAAATATGTTCGCGCAACTTGGAAGCAGGCTGTCCGGTGAATACTCGGTGAAGGCTTTGGTGTGAGCTATTTTCCTAATGTTTTGTTGATATCTCACAGGCGCGAGCTTTTTATATGTTATGACAGTAAATAAACTGTTTATATAATTTCATTTGTCTATTTCACCACACGTTCTTCTTACCGAGTCACTTTCTCAGTTCGATACTTAAAAGCAATGTCATTATTTAGCGTTGACAGAATTTCTAACTGTGATATAGATATGTTGTTGTCACAGACAAAACTCAATGTCTTGTTTTATTGACACCTGTGTGTCTGCCTGCCTGTCTGCTAATGACAATATTCAATACACAACTGCGATCACTGACCACATGCAATTTGAACTTAACACCAATCAGGCTATACACCATAAACAAAACGCATTGATTTATGGCCCGAGTTCGGTCTCTGTCACATTATGTAATTACACAGACAGGCAGGTGTGATACTTGAACACATGACATGTTATGATGTCTGTTGATTGCAAAATGTTATACACAAAAAATGAGCATGTATTTACAAAACCCAACATCTCTATATATACACACACAATGAGCCGTGAGGGCATCTGCAAATGAACCAGCCGTTACACTTGAGTGCACACCCACCCGCTCTGACTGGGTTCGGTATCCCGGCTGCTTCGTTTCTTGGGAAGTAAACCCAAGTACACAATATTACACTTTTGATTTGCGATTGCAGTTTATAATTTTGTTTATATGTGTTTTCATAACCAGCAATATATATTATATGTCATGAATAAGTGATAATTGTGTTTTAATTATGTCTGATTTTTTGGTTGCATGTGACCTTAAATTGCAAGGAAACATTTTAAAAATGTAAATGAACATTTTACTAACCATTTGACGTTTACGATTGCCTGTTACTGCCTTGCAACGGTTAGAATTCAACAACTCTCGCCTGACAGTTTTTTTCCATGATCAAACTTTGAAACATTGAACACTACATTCTGCTTTGGCCAAGGGATGCAAGTCAGCATAGCATGTTGCGTCACTTGGACATCTGGGTCAAGTTTCACAAAGCACTTTTAGCGCCACAACTGTCATTACGCCTATACTTCAACATAGACTTATGACAGTTGTAGAGCTACAATCGTTTTGTTAAACCGGGCCCTGTTATAGGAGATAACACTGATAGATGCATTCCAGGTATTTATTCCACCATGATTCAGCACTGATAAACAGATCAACTGTATGTGAAACACCATAAGCCTGATAAGCTCATAGGAAATATTTCATTTTCAACACCCATTTGGACAGGTTCAAGGTAAATTTTCAGTTTAAAGGCAAGTGAATGCGTTGTAAGTGAATAATATTTTGTATCATAAAATACATGCACTACAACGGACTATAGTGGAGCCATACATTAGGATATCACAGTTTTGAACCAAGGAAGTGCTTTAGTATGTCTGTTTCAACAATACCATGTTTTTCGTGACATCAAAATCTGCTTTAAATCTTCCAATCTCACTCATGGTTACAGCAGTTCAAAAAGTTATAGCTGATCAAAAATAACTGTTTCCTCATCCTGCATTGTTAGGACTTCTCTTCGGACCTATTCATGTTTTTTTATTAACACATATTGTCAGATATACAAATTTTTCCCTGTTTTTAAAGGCCAACCTAAAATTTTCAGCAATAGCATAGCCAAGATATGATCAATAAAATCATGAATATGTGCTTCATAAAAAATAACATCCTAGTTTATATTAGGACTGCACAGTGTTACAGGTATACCAGTATATTGCAGTATGTATTGGAATATGTTTTCTGAGAACCGGTATATTGGGTTAAAGAACATATATGAAGTTTTTGATTATCTTTATGGTTTGAATTAATATATATAAAAGAAAATAGAATCAATGACAGTGCAACCTAATTTTGAGACTGCTGTTATCTAGAGCTGTGTATCGTGGTCAAAGTGGTGAGACGATATATCCCGAGACCAGTTTAATTAGGCGAGACGATATATCATGAAAGTATTTGCAAGGAACCTGCGAGACAATTATCATCACATCATACAATGGTGGCGATACGATACGTATCCCGATACTTTACAATTTCTAATAGCAGAACATGTATGATAGATAAAATGACTGAATCTCTTTTGTTATACAGCAGATCTTGTGTTACATTCACCCACACTTAAAAAGCTGTTCATTTAATAAAGTTTCAGCATTTAATGCTTTTAAAGTACAGTCAAACACATTCAGTATACTTTGATCTAACATATATAATTATGAAACTGAAGTTCCCTTTGGGAAGGTGTGTTTCTGCACCAATGCTTTCACAAACAATAGAATGTAATTTATATCAGAATTCAGAATCACTGAAAAAACTCTTAAGTATGCTTTCTAAATTTTATCTTCTCTTTGTTCTCTTTCTTAACAAAGCTAAGACATCATTCATAGGTGTTAATAAATGGTGTTATTTGTCAAACAACTAAACCATATTTCAATTACTTAAGGACAAGTATTCTACAGTTCACAGAGTTTGAAAAATGTTCACACACTTTCACTTATACACCAACTCCTTTGTCCATGTAACAACCAAAGGACGTTAAAATATGGTACTTGTTGGTCCCTGCCTGGCGCTCGGCATTAATGGGTACAACAAGGACTGGTGGGCTCGGAGTCAGTATAATGTGTCTGAGTGGGGTATTCATGCTTCACTGCGGCATGGTATCTCAGTGGGCTAGCACTATAAAACCAGCTTCAGTCTGGGCTAGTACAAGCAGCTGCACATACACATACACATGCATGCACGTCGTCATATGAGCGAAATATTCTCAAGCACGACATTAAACCCTATTTCACCTCACCTCACCATGTAACAAAGATAACAGACACAAACAAATTCCTAAAAGGTTCAATTTGTTTTTTAAAATTCAGAAGAATTTCAAAGAGACTCCCTTCCTATTCCTAATGCAATACTCCTTACAACTTTAACTAGTATTGAAGTTGTATCTGGATATATCGTCTCTTGTGGCGATACATCGATGTATCGTGGACCCTTGCAATATATCCTGATATATTGCCTAAATGTGTTTTGTATCGATGCACTCGTATCGTGTAGTTGACGATGCAAACACCGATACTATCGTTACACCACTACTGATATCAGAACCATAACATATATGTTTTGGGACTTATAATGTAGAAAATAGGATTGATGTACACAATTAGTGTCACTCACTGTCATACACTTACCGTAAGTTCCCAAAACATTGCAATACGTATTGCAATATGGCTACCTGAATCGCAATATATTGCAATACAATGCATTTGCCAATACACAGCCCTAGTTTATATTGTAGTTATAACTGTTATTCCAATACGTTTTTGGAGGTAACTGACCTCATATGAAACCTTTTTCCCCACATGAGCCTTATGTAAAAGAATCAGCTGGTCTCTACAAACAGTATTATGATGTCATACTGGCACAACATTACTGTTATATCTAACAGGTTAACGACCAGTGTGACAGTTTATGTCTTGACTGTGACCCAGTTCAGGACCACAAGGGTCTGATCTCCTTGTACCCTGATCAGCTGACATTATATTCCTCCCCCCTGACTATGACCTGTGACCTTGTCCAGGGCCTTGAGGGGCTGATCTCCTTGTCCATTGATCAGCTGATATAATAATCCTTCCCCCTTGTCTATGACCTGTGACCCTGAAGATCTCCTTGTCCATTGACAGGCTGATATGAGATCGATACCCTGCTGAGTTCACGGTTATCGAACTGATAGATATCAGTGACAGATCATATCCAACATATCTGCCATCGTCATGTTACATGCTGAATCTGTTATATTACCTGAATAGTCCTATTAAGTCAAGGAGGCAGGTGCCAAATGGCAAGATTATTGTAAGTTCCCAGTGCCCTTAGTGAACTCTTACAAAACAACTGTCTTTTTTATGACTATATTTATGTGAAGCCAGTGTGAAATGAACATCACTCCAATCATGAAGCATTCAGCTTTAAGGATATCAGCTTGTTTAATGCATAGAGGGACGTTTCAATGTAAATCCTTACACCTTATTTCTCTATGCAATATACAAGAAGTTGTTACCTATAAGGTGTATGCTTCATTATTGACTCACCAACTTCTAGAATGCCGATCAAACGAACATTACACCAGTAAACCTGAGAAATTTAATGATGACTGTGGTTGTCTAACAGATGTGTTAGTTCATCTACACAGTTCTAAAATCTAAGTTAGGAACAGGTGAATCAATCTATCATCACTGAAGGGCATTACACACTCAGGGATTGGGATAGAGAACTTTGGCAATGGGCCATTTTCAGGATTATTAGCCATTTTCTGAATTTAGAATGGGCCACTGCCCTTGTATCAATCGTAAACTTCAAAATTTTAATGGGCCATTTTTTATTCTAATGTGCAAAATGGCCCATGGCCCCTGTTTTTCCCAATCCATGCACACTGTTATTAACATGTCTCAAATCCATGTCAGGAATTAAACCCAGGTCTATTGCATGACAAGGCAACACCTCAACCATTAAGCCACTGTGCTACTCTCAAATAAAACATGGGGCATGGATGGCTCAGTCTTTATGGTGTCACATATTGGAAGAAAAGCATCAATTATGGATTGCCAGAAAGCTATGAATGAGGACTGAATCCCAGATTCTGTTATTAAAATAAAGTAAATGTCTCACCATCCCAAGAACTTGATTCAATCCAGTTGAGAGCATTAAACAATGCATTAGTCCCTCCATAACAGGCATTGGTTGTGTCGATGCCTTCAACGTTTGAGTTGCCACTGTCTTCAAAAAGCTGCATCAACGCAGTCTTGACACTCTTGGATTTGTCTATAAGAGTCTCTGTGCCCACTTCTAACCTTCCTATTTCACTGTAGGCAATCTGATTCCTTTCTATCAATGTCTGCACCACAGTTAAACACAAAGAGTTGATATCTTCTCTATCAGAACAAAACCCCATTTTAGATTGTCCGAGTCCAATGGTGTATTTTCCCTCCGACACACCATCAAATTTCTCCAGCTCTGTCTGATCAACATACTCGGAGGGAAAGTACACCTCCATTGCGATGATGCCGACATCTTGTGGCCATCCCTTGTTCTCAGTCGCTGTTGGGCCAGGCATTTTGATTAAGTTGTGGTTATCCACTGAAAACACAATTGAAAGCGTGTAGACATGACAGTACATCTAATTGTTTGGGAATGACTGAACACAATGGACATCTGTTTTGATGACACCTACCTACTCCGTGACAAAGACATTTTGCACAGAATTGCAATTCATTATTCATTCCATGATTCCTGAGGTATTTTAGGATTGCATTCATTGAAATTTTGTAAAATTAGGTACAAAATTCCTTTTCAAATTTTATGATCTTTATAAATGCTATCAGCACAATAACCTGAATTGGAATTATTTAAATTTGGGAACTATTCCTAACAAATCCTGTAGACTTAGCATCCAGCAATGACCCACCCAGAGACCATATACCGAGGGGTATAGGGTCTGCCCAAACCCTTGATAAATCAACATGTTTAAGTGAGTGAATGAGTAATTTAGTAAATTTACTGTAAACTTTTCAGCTGTTGTCATGCACAAAAGCTATATAAAATGAAGTCTTGACAAGATACGACATCTGGTTCATGATACTTGCTAGAGCAGAGTTCCAGGCTGCATGGGTATGACGACAGACAACAATACAGGTCACTAGTTGCAGTAAGCTACTTTAGCTGCTGGTCAGAAGTCCGAGTCTACTTAAACTTTGCTTGGACTTGTGAGCTCAGCTAATAACAGTCCATATAAAACACAAAAAACAACTGAAAATGAAGCTTGGGATCCTGTTCAAGCTCATAGTGTTAAATGTTTTCACACAACTGCATTGAAAACACCACACAACATTTCAGACAGGTCCTAGATCACGCAAGCAAAATGGTTACTTCGTACAACCGCACCCTGTGGTTTTGTTAGTAACACCAGTGTTGTCTCCCTCTGACTTCAAGTTCTATCCCAATACCTGCTACAACAGTTCACCTTTCTATCAAATTAAAACTACGCACTAGGGTTTCCTCAGTCTACACCAATATTAGTTTATTTGCTGTACATGGTCACAGCTTGAAGTCATTAATTTAGTCATACATTAGTTGTAGGTAATTATGCATGTTCAGTAAAATGTTCAGTGTTGTTCAAATTACTAGTCACCAGACTTTATTAGAAATAGTTCAGGTTTGATTAGAATTAGTTCAGCAAGTAGACCTTTGTGCCAGAAGCTCTTGGGCTCAAAGAGAATTCTTTGAACATTGAAAATTTACACCAGTATGATGAGAAACGGATGGGAAAGCCTCGCACGGAGGGGAAAGCCGCAATAACTCGGTGCGCCTAGTGGCTGCAAGAGTTGTATGATCCCCAGGGAGTTGAGATTGATATTAAGATGTGCCGTTGAGATTCACATCCAATGATCGAGGGAAAAAACTACCAGCGCCTTGAGCAAGCACTAGTTGCCTGGATATGTGCGCTATATAAGTATCCTATAATAATAATAATGAGAACCATTCTCTTCCCACAGAGGTTACTTGTCATATCTTCCTACAAACATCTGTTCTAATACGGCCCTTTCATGGTGCGAATGTTCAGAATTCGTGATTGGTTGCAATCAGATTTTGTTGTGCAATCAGCGACGTTGTTTCAAAAGTGATCATTCGCATGGCCTCGGTTCTTTCGGGAAAACTAGAACGTCTTCCCCTTCGCGATGCGCAAACGTTTCTTCTAGACAGAACTCTGTCATGTAATGGCGGATCAATGGCGTCTCCATCACCCTCGTTGACAACGGACACGCTAGCCATTATATGTTTTGCGTGTCACATCAACACAAGTCCGCGGCAGAGGAGGGATATTTGTGGCCCCAAATTTGTCCACATGACCAAAGAGGTTAACCCCATCAGCAAGCTGACAAGGTAAGGATGTCATCTGTGAGATGACTCCCCCCCACTGCTACACTTGCATTAGTCAAGTTGGATCTAAGTCGATGTAACACCAGTGTATGAAATAAGCCAAAACCCCAGCCAGACATCAGGGCTGGTAACTTCAAAATGTTACCAGTTCAAAATGCATTTAACCAGACCAGAAACCAAGATATGACTCAAATGTATATAACATCTAATTTTTTTTACCATACCATCGGGCTGGCTAGCTGTAAATCTAGACCGTCCGTCTGAAATTTAACCCGTCTCGGGTGATCGGACGGGCCTGATTTCATACACTGGTAACACATGTTCTGATTGGATAGAAAGAAGGGAAATAATTAGTGTTGCGATTTCTTGCCGCTAGGGGATTTTACGAGAACGGGGAATTATGGCCGTATTAGAACAGAGTTTCGTAGGAAGATATGACAAGTAACCTTTGTGGGAAGAGAATGGATGAGAACAAAATAAAAACTTTATATATAAAATGTTTTATGTTTTTATATAGTATATGTAGTAACATGTTCATGATACGCGAAACATTTACATCTGTCATGATATTGAGTCTTGCATGAACACATCACCAAATCATTTACTTGATAGAAAACTAAAACACTGTACATTTGAGCCAATTAATGTAAAAATGAAGGAAAGACAGAAAAAGAAAGGAATATACTGGTTTTCAGATGCTTGTATCATGGAAACCCTGCTGTACAAACAGTGGCATAGTGGATAGTTTAAATTTGGTTTTCACAATTACCTGATGTATCGATGCATTTCAAATGTACATTTCATGATGATGTGATATATGATATGCCTACCTATCATGTATTGATCGTTGTACTTACTTTATATTCATTTTTAAAAATGCCTTATTTACAAACCGTTGGAATAACTAGGCCTGATAACATCTCTGCCACATGCTAACTTCCCGTTATAACAAACATAATGCTAAATCTGACTGCACGATACTATTAAAATGAGCCTGAATCAAATAGTCATGCTGTTGGATAACAACCTCTAGTCATGTTGGCAACACGGAACTTCACTTGAAATAATAAAAAAATAAAAAAACACAATTATACAGACACCTGACAAATGCACATTGTGACACCCCTATGTTTAAGTAGTCCAAAAGAAGTGAAATAGTGATACAAAATTGGGCATGGAGGGTTTTAAGCCACTTTTAGCAATATATGGAGAGGACAGGACATGGGTTCACATTTTGTACTCGTTATGTTGGGAATAACACCTGGCTCTTTGCCATGTGAGCGCTAAATAACCACTAGGCTTTAAATATATAGTAATGACACATGGCAAAATGACATGGCAAAACCATATACAGTTACTCCGGCTAAACATCACCATTACTCATGTAGTCTGGGCTTTTGTACAAAGCTTGAAATGTGATACCATAACCTAAAACTGAACAATACACTATCAATTGTACATGGTTAATGTCAATGTGTTACCAGTGGTGACATGTTATACTTGTAAAGCATAAACAATCATTTTTCTCAACTGATCATGTCAGAATGACATAGATTTTTACAGTCTGCTTCAGTACTTTGTTATACAAAACTATAAATAAATTCATTATCAGACACCTGCAATCAAATGTATCAGCATATGTAATGTTTGTACAATATGTACAATATGAACATGGAGATAAGAACATTTCCCATCACAGAACTCAGACATTTTCGGCACATAAATAAGTTTTATTTTAAATTGAGCAATCTCACTTGACAATCTCTGTACCCTAACAGGGATTGGTATAGAGAACTTTGACAATGGGCCATTTTCAAGATTATTAGATATTTTCTGAATTTAGAATGGGCCACTGCCCTTGTATCAATAGTAAACTTCAAAATTTTAATGGCCATTTTTTATTCTAATGTGAATCCCTGCCCTAATAATTGTAGTATGCATTGCTGTCTGGGGCGTGTCTTCTGCCGAGGGGTATGCAGCAGGACGTGGAATCATACCACAGTGGACTCCCTTCCCTTGTAAGTTTGCTGACAACTTAATTACTTTGGTCATGTGGACAATGCGTCCGACATAACATCAGGAGGTTCTTGGTTTGAATCCCAGTTCACTCGAGTACTGTTAATTAATAATGGCACGAACAGCAATCATGTGTCATGAAACGAGGCAGTTTTAACATGTATAAAATCTTGACTCCATTGAATTTTCAGGATATAACCAAATATAAACATCCAGACTATGTGATGGTTGTGTTTAAACACTGCCGAGACAAGCCGATGACTGCATCTCTAAATATTTGAAAATCGGTTCAGCTGATTTCATATTTCGTCTCAATCGCTAGCGACTACAAAGACATTCGAAACATAAACTGTGACATGTCCATTGCCAAAAATATGTTTTAAGACTCTGAATATACGACATCCCTTACCTGTTACTCGTTTACCCTTCACGGCTTACCAACACCGAGTGAACTTCCCACAAAAGCCGTCTGCTATTAACAACATTCACAAACTCCATGCGTCACAAACGGAAGTGCTCACTCCGCAGCATGAGAATTCTCGACCAATCAAAACAGCGCTTTCAAAAGCACCTGACGAAAGATAACATGGGACCACGTTGTTCCCGGAGAGACGCTCACACCATCTCCTCATCCGATCGACAAGCCAAATAACACAAATAGAAACGAAGGTCTCCTTAGTCCAGATAAATATATCTGTATGACAGCTTAGATAGAACCCATTCGCTTTTTTAACGATATGTTATGGAATAGAAAAAGTGGGCGTGCCCTAATGAATGCATTCATGTTGTTGATGACGAAGGTTCTAAAAAAGGAAAGCTAAAGTATCTAAAATTAGATGGCTTGAACGTAAGACAGCAACTGTCACAAACAACTGACGCATATGTCTAAAAACAGAAAAGCAGCAAGGTGTGTAAGCTTATTTAATTAAAACCAACAACATAAATTCAATGCAAAATGGGGATGGAAACTATAAGTAGATATGTTCAGTACGTATTTTAAGCTTTAAGGGACCGTTCATAATTTATGGCTGGTGGGGTGGGGTGGGGGTGGTGGTGGTGAAGATGATTTTAAGCGGGGCAGGTGAGGGGTCAAATTTTGTCATGGTGTCATTAAGTTTGTACACTTAGTTTGCATAAATTTTAGAGGAGGGGAAGGGGGTGTAATTCACATTGTACATGCTTCTCCATAAAAATCATCATCACCCCCTACACCTAAACACATTGCTAATCGCCTCTAAATCAATGACAAAAAGTAAAAAACAAACAAAACAAACTAAACTCGAAAATTAAAACAACAGAACAATATAACAGAGACTGAAAAAACCCAACAACATTAAACAACTGCACATTGCACCTTTTAAGAATTTAATGGTCAACATGTTTGTGAAAACGTATGGCAGGTAGCTCATAGAAATGGCGTGATACGTCACAGCGCGGTCAGGGCCAGAGGTCACAAGGACATGGAGGACACTGGGTAGACTTTGAACCTGTATGGTGTACGCACAACTCAGGCTGTGTCGAATTGTAAGGTAGGAGAAAAGCCAGAAATTACGCATAATGTTGACGACTAGGCCTTTAATATATGTTGGTTGAAACCTACCAGCGCCGAAATTGTGCTGACAATATAGTGTTACGACAAAGGAACGTATTATTATAGTATAACAATGTTCTGAGGATATTGTATTACATGGCGTTGTCATGCGGAAACGTGGTCACTGTTCCTCACCTTTATGCATAATAATTAACACTACATGTTAACATATTCTTCGTTTCATACCTACTACAACGAGCTTCTACTTTTACTACTACGACTATACCAGTTACTATTACTACTACAACGGGCACTTACTACTACTACTACTACTATTACTACTACTACTACTACGACTACAACTACGGATGCTGTTGCTACCAATACCAACACAACCACTACTACACCGACGAATGTCTGCTACTGCTGTTATTTCCTCAATAACTACCAACAGTAAACATTTTTCTACAACTGGAACCTGTATATTTTTCTAAATTTCTAAATACTGTGCGAATAAACAACATTCCACAACCAATGCCTTTTGTGTCTGGATGAATGTGCGTGACCCTGAGACCATAATATATTCAAGTAGGTATACACACGAATAGTGAGTAACAATGCACACAAATCGGCATGAGTGTGCTTGATCAGGGTACGACTGCCACATGTACTGCGCGCAGAATGTATACTATAAAAAGACGTTGAACAACACCTGATTTTTCACATGACGATAGCGTACGAGAGGCTATATATGACAACATGGCGTTCTTTACCTATTACTCTCGAGTAGACAACATAGTATATATATCAAAATAGTTTACACGTGAAATTAACTTATGGTCAAAATATGTGCATTTATCGAACTTATTGCACGTTCCTCGCAACTTTATGTTTACAGGTAGGTAAATGTTAAAAAAATAACACGTTTAACACGGGCGAATAAGATATCACCAGGTGTTAATAGCCTTATTACTGAACCGACCCAACTAACGACACAACGCGTAGATTATCAGCAGAGAGAAGAGTGGCTCGAGCTGCCTGATAGCTTTATAGTTATTACAGCAATATTTATTTCTGTAAAAAAAGGGAAATATGCCACAGACATCTGCCTTTTAGTGAGTGAGTGAGTTGAGTTTTACGCTGCTTTAGCAACGTTCCAGCAGTATCACAGCAGGGGACACCAGAAATGGGCTTCTCACATTGTACCCATGTGAGGAATCGAACACGGGGCTTCGGTATGACGAGCGAAAGCTTTAACCATTTGGCTACCCCACCACCCCTTCAAGTGACTTAAATTAAATAAGGTGTGTATTTTACGCGAACTCAACGTGCTAACAGTATATACATAACGGTGTCGCCCCATATATGGCTACTATATCACTATTTCAGTGGTGTATGTGTTGTGTGTATAGAGCGGATGTCCAAACCTAGGGAATGAGTATATTATCCTCGCCCATTCCCTGGTATTGTGCAAATTGAATCATGAATTGTCCCGTTCCCAGGAAGGGGACAGAGCGGTTGCCCAAACCTAGGGGATGAGCAACTTATAATATAATACCCAGAATTACTCATTCCCTAGGTTTGGGCAACCGCCCTGTCCCCTTCCTAGGAACGGGACAATTTATGTTTCAATTTGCACAATACCAGGGAATGGGCAAGGATTAAAAGATAACCTAAACGAGAGACATCATGATTCATGTTTATTCTGACAAACAGTATCTTGATAAAATGTAACACATCCAAACATTTATAGTTAGTTAAAATTTCAAATATATAATATTTTGAAAACTGAAATTAATGGTTATTCTAACAAAACGGTATCTTGATACATTGTGACATATCAAAACATTTAGGTAACCGTTCATAATTTATGGCTGGGGGGTGGGTGGGGTGATGATTTTTATGGAGAAGCATGTACAATGTGAATGACCCCCTCTAACGTTTATGTACAAAGTAAGTGACCCCGTCCTGCATGTTATGTACAAAATCAATGACCTCCGATCCCCCCTCCCTTCCCTTAATTTTTAAATATTTATGTACAAAATTTATTTAAGTTTATTTCTCTAGATCTTCTAATGAGAGGTTTGTTCTTCCTTTTTCAGGCACATGCCATTCTATTTCTCAACTACATCTAAATAAATATTTATGAATGGTATACACATGAGTCTGTTTTCCTTTCTTGGATCTATTAACACCAAAGTGACAGCAGCACAACGGGCGAGGCAGCTGAACCAATTCTGGTTTTAAGATATATTGAAGTTGTTTTACAGAGTAAACTAATAATGACAAACGAAGATATTCAGTAGTCAGTTACTGTATCCCGCTGTGCTGCTGACAAGTGTTGGCTGATGAAAAACACAAAGCATATTATATTCGCGTGCAGCCATATGTGAGTGAGTGAGTTTAGTTTAGTTTTACGCTGCACTCAGCAATATTCCAGCTATATGGCGGCGGTCTGTAAATAATCGAGTCTGGACCAGACAATCCAGTGATCAACAGTATGAGGCAGCCATATGTAGCTTCGAAGGTAAATAAATGGTGCATTTTATGACACTGAGACAGTAACGGTACTCATGGCCTCTTAGACACTTGGGGCGGTGGGGTAGCCTTGTGGTTAAAGCGTTGGCTCGTCACGCCGAAGACCCGGGTTCGAATCCCCACATGGGTACAATGTGTGAAGCCCATTTCTGGTGTCCCCCAGCAGTGATGTTGCTGGAATATTGCTAAAAGCGGCGTAAAACCAAACTCAGTCAGTCTTAGACACTTAGCGTTCAGATAGCGACCAGACTAACCAACCAACCAGCCTCAAGTATCGATCTCTTCGATTGGCCTGACCGAAAGAGGGACGACCCGGGCTGGGAGACTCAGTATACTGATATTAACTTTGATCATGTGTGTTAAACATGTTTTTTTACTTAGTCAAGAAAATACAAACTTTTGTTTATTAATACGAGGTTTGAATATCAACTCTCAAAGTTACCTCTTAACACAACCAACCCATACCGACACAATGGTCCTGAGTAAATATATTCAACTACCCATATGCGATCCACAAAATGAAAACTTTACGTTATCAAACTCATAACGTCACTAAAATATTTTTATTTGGTGTCCCCTGCTGATATATTAAAAACATTAATGTACGGTGACTACCGAAAGACTACTTTCATAAAGACACAAACTGAGCCCAGTCTCTACAGCTCTATAAATTGAAAACGCAAAAGAGGACGGGAACCAGTTCATATTTTTTGTAATCTCGCGTAATTGATACTTCACGAGACTCGGTGTCTACCTAACGACCGTTGCTACACAATTGATGTCTAATCGACGCCATTGTTGTTGCTGAATCACTTTGCTTTTCTGAAAGCTATATCTTCGCACCCTTTGTTGTGTTCTTGAACCTGCTACCATGAATGCGAGCACTTATGTTCAAGGTACAATTCTATTAACTTTTTTTTATTGTTTTAACCCCTTTCAATATTAGCCCAGATGAAGTGACAATGTTGTGTCCTCGAAGTAGGAAATATATAGGCGGATCCAGAGGGGGGTGCAGCCTCAGGGGTGCGCACCCCCCTTTTGTCCTGAAAGATTATTAAATGACCTATGAAAAACGGGTGAAAACTCGAGAGACACACATGTTTGTTGCCCATTGATGACTGCTCCTGTAGAACCTTTACACAACACTAACATTCGGGCTGGCATTGTAGCCCACGTTTTACATGAACTTACCTGTGACTGTTTGTGTTGTAATTTCTGAGTCGCATGTTACACCGCATGAATCAAAATTATGCATCTACAATGATAGACTCGATGTCTAGAAAGATTTGTGTGTATGGGGTTACATGAATATTTCTGGCTTCATAGATATTGCTATGTGCAATTGTTTCATCAGTCGTACAAACATATCATCTTTTGGACACACCGAGATATACAGATAACTGTATATGTTTTTGAGAAATATGGGGAACAAATGTTCGTATTAGAGAGTACTGTGCCAACAATTTAATTCTGAATTATTTTCTATGTAGGGCCACAGTTTTTTGTGCAATGACTTTTGTACTCATATCCTTCCTTCTGT